CCTCTCTCTCTCTCGCTCGCTCGCTCGCTCGTTTGCGTTGCAGCGCTGTCAGTCAATTTTGAACACTAGATCTAGATCTACCAACCCAGCAAATTAATATAATCTAAGGCCATTATCCAAAAGGGCCTGGAACGTTTGTCTACCTATTTTTAAATTTAAAAAACACCTCTTAGATCTAGCGCGGTCAAAAATAATCAGAAACGAGATATTTTCGCACCATCTTGTCTACTGAAAACTGAAAACGTTTTTATTTGATTCATCGGCTAGTTGAGTCTTGTTTTGAATATAGCGGATCAAGGGAAATCACTTGCAAAATAAAACGAATCCATTGAGCCATTGAGTAGGTCTGAAGAATCTCTTTTGGAACGCTTGGTCTTGGTAGGCGACGACTCAGTGTTATGAAATTTAACTCCACTTTTTATATTGGTATTTATTATTTGTAAATTTCATGTTGTGGGTTTGGTTGTTCCAACAGACTAAGATGTCATTCTAGATTAAAATGGCAAATAAGGATTTCTAAAACAAGAAATGAACCGAACTCTGCAATCTTCAAGGAGCTGCCTACCTACTGATGAACTGCTCCTCTCCCGTCAGTGCCTGTGACTGTGGCTGGACTAAATTAACAAATTTTTTTTATATATCTTTTCACCTTCTGTAGGCTAGGGCTAGAGATCTACATTGTTACCCAGTCATTAGGGATGGTTAGAAAATCTTGATACCTAGATATACCTATCCCAACTATGAAGACGAAGATGTTGTTCTAGGTTTGTGTCTGAGATCCACAAAACGATCTTGTAATCTGATAGAAATTATATTGGTAATTGTTTACTTTCTCGCATTTAATTCCGGCCGCCCCTAGATCTAGATCTAGATCTAATCTAGATCTAGAATCTTTGCGTTGGGATTAAGAGTACGTAAACCACAGCAATTTCATCTTTTGTAGGTAGATCTAAACCTAAGTCTAGTCTTGTAACATCCCTGGCTTTAGAAGTTTAGCAGAGACCTTCCGTACTACTGATGTTGATGGCCAATGTGCCATATATATTCATAGAGTTCAGAGTGGTCCCTCGTTACGGAAGTCCTCCCCAGGAATTAAACGTGAGAAAGTAAACAATTACCATTAGATTAAGTTCTCATTGCTAGAGTCAGATAAAACTTGGAAGTGGACTGGGATCATTTGCACACACATATTTTGCTTTATTAATTGTGGATGAATTGCAAGCAAGAATTAATGAGTGATAAGTTCAATAAGCCGAGAGAGTGGTAAAAAGTACAGTTGAGTTTAATTATGATAATATTGAAATGAGGAATAATCCTGAAGTAGGCCCTTTTTCAGATGAAACACCAGTCTTATACGTAGTCTGTAGTGACTAGGTTCATGGCGTCCTGAATGTAGTTTGCAATTTAAGATTGATCTTGCTCACTCCACCCCCTACCCTTTTCCCTTTTGCTGTCTTCTTTTTTTCACCCCCTCCCACCCCTCTTCCCGCCTTGGCCTTCTTCCATTCTCCCTTGTTTCTTCGAATGACTTTTATTTGCAAATTGTCAAGCGTTGCCGGGTCCGCACACGAGAAGAGGATCTAAATCGTGTTCCGCATGCTGAGCGAGCGAGGCCTTGTTGACCGCGGCTGTTTTGCCGTACCCGCCTTCGCCTTCCGTAAATTCTGTTGCATTTGGACTACCACTGCATATTTTTCTCACTACTAGTATTTCTGTGCTGTTTCCTCATTGTCTTTGAGGAACCGTAGCATTTCAGTCATGGAATACCTCTCTGCCAGTGGTGGATGATTCAGAGCGCCGTGAACGTAGTCACTGAAATTTGTGAAGCACGCTGACAAAATGAGTTACTTCTCGGATTTGGGCCTATGGAAATAGATACAGATGAAGTTTTTACAATTTATAAAAGTATGAAATAATAAAAGGCATGTTGCACTTTAAGAATATATGACATCAATGGAAAATCTACAATTTCACCTATGTCGATTTTTGGCCAATATAATATCCATTTGTGGATCGCGAGAAGTAACTCATTTTGTGAGCTCGCGTCACATTTATTATCTTTATTATTATTCTGTGTGAAACAAACAAATAATTAAAATGTTGGGGGGGGGGGGGGGTTTGGGGGGGTTTTTGGGGGGGGGGGGGGGGGGGGATTCCCCCGTTTTGGCCCCCTAGAGTACGGGGGGATATCAATACTGACTTAAATATTGGTATCGATGTTCTATCCAAAAGAGAGCGAGAGATGCGCTGCTAGGTTTTTCAGTACAAAATGAGCTGTAATATTTCACTTGTTTTTAACAGGGGAGGTTTCAGGAGGGCTTGACTGCCTCCCCCCCGCCCCCCCCAACCAAATAAGAAAACGCCTGAATTTAACCATAATTTGATATTATAAATATTGCAATTAATTAGGTTTGATATATGTCACTCGCCGCGCAGTAAAACATATTGGCATGCACGTCGAAAAGTAATTGTTTAGAACCAGAAGTATCGTCAGTGGAGATAATACCCACACTTTATGGATCGTTGGGGCCAAAACAGGATTATTTTTATTCAGGACAATATATTGTTCAAATTTGTAACTTGGTGTCTTCAAAATTTTTTTGTCTTACTTTTCTTTCTATTAGCAAGCAGATAGACATTCATTTATAATGAGTTTGCTTTTATTTTAACCTGCCATGTTAGAAAGGCATGGAAGAATACAGCTATGGCACTCATGTTCATTCTAGATAGTGCAACAAGTGGCTACATTTCTTTGTCTTTAGCATTGGGCTCTGCTTTTGTGCTGTTTTGGATAGTATGCTAGCTCTCTGTTTCAATGAGTGTGGATACATCATTATTTAATTAAGTAGTCTTAGGTTAGGTCCAGGGGGAGTGGGAAATTGAGTCTGTGCTAGCTTTTTGTTTGTTTTTTCCCCCCTTGACTTCACAAGTACATTTTGTTCGTCTTTTCATTTTAGAGGCCAGAAAGAATTGTTCCTTTTTGAGGTTAAAAAAATAGACGTTATTAAGTTTTGCTTTATAGTACTGTTATCTTTTGCACTTTCATTGATTTAATGTAATACAATTTTTTCCCAGGTTGTGCTTGGATGTCCAAGTTTCCATGGGCACTGACTGTGAAGGATGAGGGCAGCATATGCCTCACTCTCAGAACATAGAACTCTGAATCAGCCTTGTTGACTTGACCACCTTCAGACTTTGTGTTTAGCTCACTGTTTACTACACTATGATACCATAGACTATGACATAAAGAATAGTATTGTTCTAATCGTACTTTCAGTAGCCAAGACTCTGATGCTACTTTTTTCTCATGATTTATGGCAATGATAATTTCTTAATTTCGTAATAATTTCATACTACGGAAATGAATGATATAATGGCAAAGAGTAGAAAAATGAGTTACAAATCATGGCAGCTGGAGCAGAAGACCTTGGATTAGAAATATGAATTTCCTTTAAGAAAAATAAATACAGTGTGAGGGCCTCTGGTAACTCATTGCTATCTTTCATAATGCATACCATCCACCAGATTGCAAAATATTCAATGAAAAAACGAAAGCGGAGCTTTTTGTCAGTGCTGTGCTGTGTTATGATCGTGTATGCTGGTGTCCAGTTCATGTATCTGAATGATGACTACAGCCCACTCCAGCTTTTGTCAAGCGTGGAAAATGAAGCCACCCGTTTAATGAGATTCATGGGTCAAGTCCATTTGCAGTGCAATGTCTCTCTGCCCACTAACAACGCCAGCACTTGGGTCCTGTGTCTTGACCAGGATGTTGGTCTCCATTTATGGAGTGACGAGACATACAAAGATGGAATTGTGTACTCAATAGGGTATGTTTTGTTCCTTAAAAGTCTCATTTGTGAAATGTTACAAAACAAATCTTTCTGTCAGAATTTCAGTTGTTTTACATTATACTCTCTCTCTCTCTCTCTCTCTCTCTCTCTCTCTCTCTCTCTCTCTCTCTCTCTCTCTCTCTCTCTCTCTCTCTCTCTCTCTCTCTCTCTCTCACTCTCTCTCTCTCCCCCTCCCCCTCCCGCTTCCATATTTATTGAAGTGTTAAATCTCGCCCGGCTGAAGGGTCCATGTTATGAGCAAGAACAAGCATGCAAAGATCTAAAAAAAAGAGTTCAGAGGTTAAAAGTTGTTCGACTGGAAAATCAAAATTTAACTATTTTCATATCATATATATTCCAAAAGGACTCTGAACTATGTAAATATACATTAATTTATTCAAATTAAAGTGGTGTCTGTGAGAAAATCTACTAAGTTACTGGCTCAAATAGTCACCATTTGGAATATTTTGGTTAGTTTTATTTCGTCACATAAAAGCCCCATCAAATATGAGTGTTATATGTTATCTCCTGTGCACCATGAATTGTAGTGTTCATGAGTACAGTTAATTATAACATTACGTTGAATGGCACTGTTCAAGACTATTGTGTAATGCGCATGATCACAGTTTTATAGCTTGTTCTATTTCACCTGTCCTTGTTTTAAAATTCTTGCTCATTTATTAATGTACCATGCCCACGAGAACTGGTTTTAAAAAAATATTTTTTCATAACTTTTGTGCTCTATTGTACGCGTATTATTTTCTTCTACTGGTTTTATTTTTCTGAATATATCAAATAATTATAATACCAGTGAAATGAGGGCGAATGACAGTTTTCATGTTGTTTTTTAAGACAAATAAAATCATCTGACTTTAGAGTTGTAGGTTTTTCTGAAGAACTTTTCTTATCTTGTCTTACAAAACCTGCAATATCTCCAAAAGTGATCAAAATATTTAGCTGATTTAGAATTGGAAAACCCTTGTGAATGTACCTTAATCTCAATTTCATAAACTGAAAACTGCAGAAATATAGATCCTTTTGTTAGGCACACACACATGCATAATATACGCATATGAAATATGTGTGTCAAAATTTAGTTTTTGTTTACATCAAATGACCATTTTTTGGCTTTCCAATTAGATCTACCCTGTTATATTCCTCTCTTTGATGTAAGTGCCAATTTCACATTCCAAGTTCTTAAGTTGAGTTGTAGAATGAGACATGAAATAGATCATATATTTATTTTTAAATCCACAGACCATCTCCTGACTTCAGTTTTGAAAGAATGGTGGCTGACAATTTGTCTCACCATTTGTACATCTTCTCTGCGCCAGTACCTTATAGAAACCAACTTATTCGCATCAGCAACACTACCAGCGTTTTTAAAGTCAACATAGTTCCCAATGACCCAGCCGATTTTGCCCGCAACTCGTTTGACACTCAAACTTTGAACTCGGTGATGTCCACCTTGAAGCATGGCCAGATTGATGTTCTGAAGTTAGACAGCAACGTAGAGGGCGTACAGTCATATGATGTCCTCCGCTTCCTGGTAGAGGATGGTATCCTCAAAAAAGTCAAGGAGTTGCATATTGTCCTGAAATTAGGTCAGTATTTACTTCCAGGTTGGTCTGTCTTAGTTAAGTCCCTCCCTCTATGTTACAGCCGAATTGTGAGGGATGGGTTCTGTAAGTTGAAATATATATATGATTCAACCTCTTTGGTAAGGCCAGTTCTCTAGTAGTATCTTTTGGAAAGCAAACAAAGATGTCTGCTCTTCCTGAAACATATATTTTCATTTCTTCCTTTTATATGAGTGGGGTTAGAGAGTACAATGTACTTGCGTAAATTGTTTTGTATCCTGTTTACTTCACTCTGTTGTCAGACTTTAGTCTCTCCAGTCTCTACATCATGACTGATATTGTTCCATTCTAATTTGATGAAGATAAGACTCTTTTTCATCAAGAGATCATGATGGACAATAATTTCCTCAACCTATGATTGTTAAAAAGCTCATATTTAAAGAGAAGAGAAGGAAGAGTTCGAATTTAAAAAAAAAAATTTAAGAAAGAAAAAATATTCAGCAAAATGCATATATGCATATATGCCCTTGCTTAATGCACTCTAATCCATCATAATCGATTAAGTCTCTTTTTCAAGGGCCATTGCTTTGATGCAGTAATGTAAAGTTGTTTGTTTTATGCTTGACGTTGGGTAAAACAAGATAGAATTCTTATTTGTTCCCTGTGTTGTTTCCTGTTTCCATTTTGCCTTTTTTTTTGTGAGATGAAAATATAGTATTATCAACTTTCCCTCTGTTCTCTTTTCACCTGAAATTTGTACCAGTTTTACTTTTGTTTGTTTTTTTTCTCAAATTTTATTCAATAATTTCTTATTTTCCCTGTGTCTTTGTCTAAATGTATGAAACTGAAAGTTGTGTTTGAGCCTGTTGTTGTTCCTCCTGACATATTTGTTCAAAGTTTTAATTCATTTCAGTTTCTTGTGCTGTGTACATTTGTGTCCTGGTGGAGATACAATTTTGTATGTTGCTTTTCTCATGGGTCTTTTCAGTGAGCAAAGTAACGCAATAGTTTAAAGTTTGCATCGAACATAAAAAAAAAAAATTCCTTTGCTTTTTTCAGATAAAGTGGAGGAGGATGACATCTACAGTTGGTACCGTGCCCTGTATGGACTTTTTCACACAGCTGGGTTTCGTTTGTACCACTCTTCTACCTCCGACCCTCTGTGTCTCCAAGCGACAATCATGGAATCTTGTATTTATTATATGTCCTGGGTGAGAAAACCCCCGCCTCACATCCTGGTCATGTACCCGCCAGCAATTGATGGTGAGTTGTCATTGTAATTTCTTCCCTTTTTTGGCTGACTTTCATCTTCATTTAACTTTGTAAATTTATATTTCTTTTAATTTTAATGTGCTTCTCTTTAAAGCAGAATATGTTCCATCTCTCTCATTTCATTCTTTAAAACCAGGCTGGCTGTAAGATTAAATGCTAAGTTCTTTTCTTGGATTATTTTAGAGTTCCTTTATTTTAAACAAGGAATTGCTGTCTGAATCTTCAATTTGCAACGCTAAATTTTAATTTTTAATTTTTTTATTTTTTTGTATGAGTATATAGTGGATTGTATACATAGAACACATGAAAAATGTCAAACAAGTTTAAGGAGCAGCAGCTTTTTGCTGAGTAACTTTTTTTGTGGGTTTGCATAAGATTTTTTAAAACTAATTTTAAAATGTGCTATAGTATGATAAGTGATGATGGTGCACATGGGCAATTGAATCAATAGTCTGACAGTATCTTCGAGTATGATGGTCTGTCATGTTATTTCAGTTGGTACACATGTATCATACCAAATGGTACAGTTATAAGTAAGGTAACTTTTCTTACTTATAATTTTTCCGCTATCTACTTCTTTTTTCAGATGCTGAAGCACGTTTTATCCCTACCCAAACATCATATGCTAACAGAGGTTACTCTTTCTCTTTGTTTTATTTGTGATCTTGCAGGTTCTCTCCACAATGAAGAAGATCGCATGGTTAATTTCTTAGAGCAGTCATCTTCTCAGGACCATAGATTTGTGCCAGTGCCCTTCAACTCAGGGGGACAGGGAATGAGTATCTTCATGCCTTTGACCTTGGCTCCTCGCAAATTTCGAGCAAGCTCAGTTTTCTTTTTTCAGTGAGTAAAGTTTTTAATTTCATGATAGCTTAATGTGTCAAAAAGTAATGGGCTCTAAGGTTGTTATTGTAGTGTTGGGGACTGCTGAAAACTCAAAAAGATTTTTTTATGAGGCTGATTCATTTGAGTGATTTGTAGCTACAAATGTGTGTTTGTTTTCTCAAATCAAGTCTTCCTGTTCTCTCTTTGTTGCTCTAAATTGTTCTAGTTATGTTTGTTTTTTTGGGACGATGTGCAAAACTTCACATGTCTTTAAGAGTTGTGTCTAAACTTGCTGCATGACATTTTGCATTTATGTCTTTCAAATCAAACTTTTTTTGTAATGTATTTGTCAGATGATGCTTTGTTATCGTTTTTGTTGTTAATGTCTGCAATTAAGTGCGTGTGTGTATATGTGAGAGAGAGTGTGTGTGTGTGTGTGTGTTTCATTCGGCCCTGTTGAGACCTACAGCCATTGATGGATTCTGCATCATGAAGTGGGACAGATAATAAAAGGTCACCTCCTGAGCAGGAAAAAGTTTAATTTCTACATCACAGAAGCTAAAGGAGGCAGAGGTAGGTAGAGAACCTAAACAGATGGGTAATGGAGAAAAATCATGGTAACGTAGCTTTTTTTAAGAACATCCAACAAAGGAATGAATGGAGAACCATGATCGCTGTTGTCTGCCTCTGATTTGGAGCTTGATGCTGATGGTGATGGTGTTAACCTTTGCCTTTTCTCTACATCTTCACAGAGGCCAGAATGATATGCCTGTGGAGTCTGTGCCAGGTTCCAAAGGTATCCACTGCCAGGCCTACACACTCAGCTATGAGATTACAAATGGCAACTCTCTCACAGTGTACCAGCGTAGACAGTCGTAAGTTTTTGTTTTTTTTCATTATCTGTCTTCCATTCAAATTCAGTTGATGTCCAAGAAGGCCACCCATTGTCAAGAAGAAAAGTGGTTGTCTTTGACCTGTGGATGTCTTGGGTGGGATCAGTGAAAATGAGGGTTAAAATGAAAAGATAAAAAAATCTTGGGATAAAACATACATACTAATGGGCAGCCGCCACTCGATGAAGGAGCCAAACTTTTGTGTTTCTGATGGAGTTAACAGAGGGACCACCAATGTCAGTTGTGATTCATGTGTGGTCAGCAAATGGTTCTGTTCTGAGAAGAGCTGATGGATTATGACGGTTTGCTTTAAATTTTGCATGCCTCATTCATCAGCACCTGAAAACTTGTTTCCAACTGATCAGCTTGGTCAATCAGAGAAAGGCACCAGTAACCTCGCTTATGCAAAGTGTTGGTCAGCAAGTAGACAATTTGTTTGAGGGATTGGCAGTAGTGAAAGGTGAATAGATTACAACTGCTCATCCACAGCGTTACGGGCCGATGTATCAGTTATGGCAACTCCTCGGACAAGGAGAGATTTTCAAGATCATCTTGGTCAGGTCTTTGAGGCTGTTGGTTGGTAAAATTCAGCAGTCAAAACCGCTTTGAACAGGTTGTCTTCTTGGGCGGTGCCATTATTTAGAGAAAAAAATGCAAGGGGAAAAGAAGTCATTTATACAAATGATTGTCTTTTGTGGCTCTATCTGTGTAGGTTGAAGATTGTAGGCCTTCTTTTGATGAACTTGAAAGTTTTAAAAATACAGCTCTGAGTTTCAAGTATCTGTCATTGTTACAAGGGCTTGACGTTATTAGACAAAAAGAGCTGAAGTTTATACTGACTGACTAAAACACGAAAGCTCAATTTCTTCTTGGATTTTTTTCTCTGTGTTAGAATTATTGTATTTTCGATATTTGTACTCTCTACAAAATGTAGTCAATTGAACACGTTTATTTTGACTTATATGTTTAGTCTCATACACTCGCCTCTGGTTGCATAATTTTTTCTAAAATATTCTGATGAAAATGTACCACTGATAGTCTGTACTAGCTTAAAGTATATTGTTACTCTCCTTGGAGTTGCTTTCCTGTTGGTAAACTTTTATCTCAAATTCTTGCTGTGTCATGTTTCTCAGGTCATCCAGAGAAGAAGCAAAATGGGAAGAACTGACCACGTCAACATGGCTGAAGCTGCTAAAAGAGTCGGGTGCCAACATTTTGGTCCTTAACATAGTCCCAGGCTGGACACTGTTGTCTCAACTTTCATATCATGGCATTCCAAAGGTAAGTGTGGCTAACTATTTTACACATATCTACTTAACTTACCGTTTGTTGTTGATATCACTTTCTATGTTTGTCATTGTTCCTTTTTATAAAATCTCCTTCTGCTAAAAAAGAAAATCATGCTGAGCGTGCTCTGCCTTCAAAACCTCTTTATTTATGTCTTGTAAGACATTTAACCCAAAATATAAAGTTGCAAGCTTTTTTCATCCATGCTCTTACCTGTAATTGCTATTGATCCAGCATTTTGTTTTGAGTTTTGTCTCAACCGCCCAGTGCCATGTAGTGGTAGTTGCAGGTTTTCTGGGTGGTTGGCGGGTGTTCTGGTGTGTTTGTTTTAGTAGAGGTTTTACGGCACTCGCAACTGCATAAGGTCATATGAGCGCCAGAAGATTAAAGGTATTACAAGAGAGTAACAAACATAAAAAAGAAGAAGGGGAGATAATAACGATAGATGTTTGATAGGAAACAAGGATCAAACCACACCAGATCTGGTGTGGTTTGTTCCTTCCTATTCAAACATCTACCATTTTTATCTCTCCTCCTTCCTTTCTTTGTATGTTACCTTCTAGTTAGTCTTCTAAACTTTGGCACTTAAATGGCCTATTTTTGTTGCATTTGTCTTAAAACTTAAGCTAAAGCTAAAAAGTAAAAAGGCTTTTGTCTCAGATTTTTAGGTATTTCATGTGTGGTCTTGCTTTCTAGTGTCAGTCTGAAAGGGAAGAGATTAAATTTTCAGGTGCTGGAGGCTCACACTTTCAAATTATATCCCGTAGTCTCCTCATAAAAAGCTCACAAGTGGTGTTCAGATATCCCCTTCCTCCTTCTAAGACATGCTTTCAAAATTTGTCCTCAGTACCTGGATGAGGTTGTGATCAAAGATCCCATGTTCTCTGCCGGCTCAGCCGTCAAGCAGCAGCCTATGTATTTGCGCAGGAAGTACAGCGAGATGAAGAGGCTGGAGGAGTTCGGTCTGCGGCTGACTCAAGTTGGCAAATTTCCGGAGAACACGCTCAAATTTGGGACACAGGAAATGTACTGGCTTTACTTTGTGAGGAAGACTGTACTCTGATGTTGAGTGGTCCCAGTGTTGTTTCATGTCTTTATTGTCAGTTGAATCTATAGAGGCCAGCATTTAGCCTAAAAGGCATCAGTACTTTGCCATAGCACAGATGAAGATGGAACCCTATTGGCGTACAGGCAGGATGGGACAAATGATTTTAAATAAAACAGTTCCTATGAATATGATATGCTCCACATGGTTATCTTGATAGTAAAAGGCTTTTAATTTCGTGTCCATACCACTGCTGTTGAGCACAAAAAGACATGAATTATTGTATATATTTATACATGTGTACTGACAGTGCAATTGGAACATACTTGTTATACATATATTTATGGAAACTTTTGGCCCATCCTGTGTATGAACTCGTGGTTTATATATTTATTCTGTGCTCCTCACATACCTCACAGGTATGACGTGCTGTGCTTTATGGAGAGAAGCTTAAGAAAACGCCAGGAAAAACAGCAATAGTTAAAATGTTCTCAAGTTTGTGCCTTTGGGCGAATTTATTTACATTGTACTTTTAATTCAATATTTCTGAATTTTGAAATGAGCAGGGCCTTTTCTCGCCTATCGTGTTACTACAGTTAAACAACAGCATTGTTTCAACAACATATCATGCTCTTGAAACAGAATAATGTGGGGACTGTGGGAGAAGTTCTACCCATAAAAAAATTTAGATGCTTGAATAGTGTATTGTGGTGCAGTACCACCTAACTTTCATAACATGCTGTGCTATGTTGGTAGAGAAGCCACTGGTGTGTGCTCTATGGGCTTCCACAGCTTCTCACGTACAGCCAGGAAGCGCATGTGATGCCATGCTTTATGTATTTTTAATCTCTGTAGGCTTTGTAATGTGGGTGAAGTCACTATGTTGTATTTATGATGTGAGAGAAAGGGTTTGTAGTTGCTTCAAAGTGTGTCCTCCTCTTAGAATGATCACATTAAGTTTAATGTGATTTGATATACATGTGTATGGGAACATGAATGCATATATGCCTTGGGGTAAGTTTGTCTCTGAATGTATCTTTTTATGGTTTAGTTTGTGCAATGGTAAAATGATAAAATGTCTTTAATACTTTCACTACCAGTATTGTCCTTGTTCATATACATGCACATTCACAAAGCTTCATTACATAAGCGTCTTGTAAACCTCCACTTTGATTTTCACTCCACCTGTCAAGAACTTTTGAGCAATGTCCAAAATTAAGCTGAAATTGTGTTATGTTGTGTGTGGAAATTTAAAGATTTGAAAGTACCTAAATGTTTTGTGAAGAGATAAATATGTTTTGATTTATAAGAACTTCTAAGCTGCTTTTTTTTTTACAACCATAAATGAAAAAGAGGAATAAGACCAAATGGTTCCAAAGGAAAGGGCAAAGGTGCAAGATTCAGTCACTTTTCATATCTCCGGTTATCACTGATTGTTATCGTACTAAATGGGCTTCCTAAATCCTGAAATCACTCATCTACAGATGAAGCTATTGTGCCACAGTATAAGATAGGATGATTTGAATCTCGATTAAATGCCTAGTTATTTTTACGTGATGTTTTTCTTCGACTGTCAGAATGATATAATGGTGCGAATGATATATTGATATGAAATTAATGTCGTGTAAACTTGCGTTCTTTATCTCAGTTTATCTGTGGGAAGTTGGTGCTGAAAAAAGGGACAGTTAATGTACTACTGTGACTGCAAAGAGATTCATTCTCATTCCATGATGAGCATTTTTTTCCCCAAAGTATGAGAAATAAAGAATGACAGAAAATATCAGGCATAATCATTTTGAACAAAAAGTACTTCATCAAGCAACTGTAAATAAAAACTCACATTATCATCTTCTGAATCACTTTTAAGTCTCCATTTGTTGATCTCTTTGGTCATCATCGACGGATTGTTACAGGCACAGTTGCTATCTGACTTCATAGAATCTGCTGTGTTTTGCTGGTAGGTTCCTGTTGCAGCAGGAAATCAGTGAAAAGGACCACAAAACTGACATTAGCTCTCGTCTCCTCTTCGTAGATGAAAGCGAAAATGTTGGAAATTAGTCTAGAAAAGAGTTTAATAGAAATAAAAGCAAAGTGAACATGGTGCCAACAATGCAGGGACAGACTCCGTTCTCCCTGCACTTGAGTGACCATTGTTGATGCTGTTTGAGATGAAATGGGGAGAATGAGTTGAATAGATTGGTATTACTTCCACATCCTACAAATTTGGTCTCTTGAGGAAATATGCGAGTCTTTCGGGAAGATGCGGTGCTGTAAGCCATGGGGAAGTCACTCTGTTCTGTATTATTATATGTCCTTCACGTTTGATGTAAATTATTTTTTGTTTGTTTGTTTGTTGGGGAGGGGTTTTTTTTTTTTCTTGTTTTTTTTTTGGGGGGGGGGGGTAATTGTCTTTTGCAGGCATTTTAATAAGTTATTTATTTTATATTACTGTTCAGTGCAATGTACTTTTCATTATGTCGCTGATGGTCTTGTTTATTTTGTGAATTGTTATTGTACATGTATGTTTTAGGGGACAATAATTAGAACTTGGTGGGCTGGAAGTATTTATTTTTTCAACAGAACAGTTTAGTAGAAGTGAAATGGTCTTTGCTGTGTTTTTGTATTACTTTTAGTTTACAACATTCTCAGTTATTTACCGTCATGTGGAGGAATTTGTCTCTTTTTCAAACCCTCTGATTCTCTTCAAGACCAATGTTCTGTGAGACTTACTTTATTATATTTCTCCAAAATTATTTTCTTCACAACCATGCATCATAATGTGCACCATTTCATGGCTTATACTTTTGCAAATGTTTTGTTGTTATTGCTCTTCATATCCTGCGGAGTCACAGAGTCATTGTCAGCAGTCTTTTTGCATCCAGTTGTTTAGTGTACAGTGGAATCTGCTCAAACCTACAAAAATAAAAGTATTACAAGTTTTCTACAGGCATTTTTTCTTAAGTTTTCTTATTGCAATCTATTTCAAAGAAAATTCTATGTACCATGTTCTCTCCTTAAACCGAAGTTTGCTGAATGGCAGATTTTCCTCAGCTTGGTCAAGTTTTCGGTTTAGAGAGAGATTCCTCAAATAGAAATAGAAGAGGAAAAAAACTACTAGGGATTTCATTTTCTTTCGGTTTACTGCTTTTTTTGGATTAACCAAGTTCAGGTTATCCAGACTCCACTGTATATAAAATGTGGCCTGTTACTTTTTGTTTGATCAAAGACAGGAGTTATTTTATGCAAGATTATTTGAAGGAGACTCTGCTATCTTCCTCTGCACTATGTCTGCAATTCCAGCTACATTGTGAATTTTTAAAAAATTAAATGTGTAAAACACTTAACTTTCTCCTTTTCAACCCAAAGCCTCTCAATGTTCTTTTCACCTGCCCTATAAGCAGGTAAATTCAAGTAGTTGGTGCTGTGCAGCTATGGACCTTTTAACTTGCCAGCTTCCTGATACGTATTGTAGTTAATCAAAATTTTACCTACTTTGCAGTGGGCACGTAAACAGTATTTGAATTGCCCTGGCTAAAGAAGATCATGTATGAACAACATTGTACAACGAAGAAAATCAAATCAAAGTTCTCGTTCCCTTATCCCCAGTTCTCACTGCTGGTTTTCAAGTATTGCTGGCAGCTGGTCTGCATTTTTTCCTTTCTCTCTACGGCCATTTTTAAGTAGATATGTCATGTAGCCCCACGTATGTATCATTTATAACTTTTAAGAAATTGTTTAAACTGTAAGACTGCTCCTGTGTGGATATCCATGTTTTGTTTGAAAGTTGTGAATATTGATTTAACGGGCACAGTTAATGGATAATTATTTATTGTCGTATTTTTCGAACCGTGTAACTGCATTATAAATAGAAAAGCAGGTACATTTTGTGCTCATAATTTTCATTATTTGTGTGCGTGATCATACAGTGAGACTGTGACAGAAGCAGTTGCTCGTAAATCAAAAAAGCATGTGTGATGATAGCGATATTAATTTTTATATATATATATTGCTAGTGTGCATAAATTTGTATGAGTGAGCATTTGGTTTCAAGTTTTTAACTATGGCAGATAAAAATGTATTATTGTTGGTGTCAGATGCAAATGGGTCATGTCCATGCAAGCTAATTTTTCAGGAGCAAAAAAACTGCATACTGCATTACATTTAGGAAAAAAATGAAAATTTGGTCACTATGATTTGTAAATGTGTTTGAGGAATATATGTTTGCATTGCATTAAGTTTGATATTACACCCCCTTTTGGAAGATTTTATGAACGAAACAAAGGTGTTTAAAAAAAGAAATCTCAGACACGGCCACTTTGCTCCTGACACTATTGTTATGGTACTATTGGATCGTAGAATAAATACTTTTTATTGTGGAGAAACTCCAAAAAAATATTGTGTTTTATTGTTGTCTGTTTATCTGTCAGTCCAGTGATACAAGTTCAAAAATGAGGATTTCCATAATGCACTATTAAGATGCCAACAATGGAGATTACTGGTGTAGAGCAGCCAGAAAAGAATTTTGATTATAAAATTACACTTTACTTTATATGCTGTTGAGCGTACAATCAATGGCTAAATTAGTACAATAGCTCATAGAAGCTTCCAGAATGCATTTTCTCTGTTTGTCATAGTCTAGACGGCTTTAAAGTCTGAAAAGGGGCTCTTGTGGTGTAGAGGTACGTTTTTCACCTCTCGACGGAAAATTTTCTTCTCTAAAATTTTCTCCTTTCACCTCCTTTCCTGCTTTCTAACCATGTTCTATCGTCTGCTTTCGTCTCTACTTTCTGCCTTCAGCCCCCCCCCCCCCTCTTTTTGCCCCCTCTGGGCTCCTGACTCTTTCTGCAGCCTATCTACTGCTACTCCTTGGCTGCTTCTTACTGCTCTATTTCAACAACACCCCTGATATTAGGGTAGGAAAGGTCTAACACCTAGCCTTCTTGGATAAGGATGAAAATTCTCAGAGGTCCCATGTGTAAAATGTGCACATTATTAAAAGATCCGTTGATGGTCCATAAATCGATAGGAGTAGGCTTCGGCCACCACGCGGGCAAAATTCAAAATTAATTCCTACCTAACTGACCAGTGCACTCATATTATGACCTTATGCAGTTGCGAGCGCCATAAACAAATCTTACAACCTCCCCCCCCCCAAATACTAATAATTTTTTAAGCTGAAAGAACTGAGTTTAAATAATTTCAGTTCTCTTCCTTTAGCTCTGAATAAAATGTCTTGACAGTTACAAAAGAGGATTTTTTTACAACTGCACTTTAATCCCAGTCCAATAAACATTACAAGCCCACCGACAAGTCAAAATAAAAACTTTCCCACACTTCAAGCTGATGAAGGCTTCTAAGTACAAGTGTGTGATCTTGATGTGTAACAAGTTTGCACTCTCTCTCCCTCATCATAAATACACTGTACAATGTATGTTCTCTGTGCAAAAGGGTGCTTTTTAAAATTTAAACATGTTTAGTTAGTTTCTTTAAACATAATGAGATTTAACAGGATCAAGTCTTTACATGTATAAATAAATGGTCGTTTTTAAGCACAAGGCGGCTATCCTGGAAAATCGAAAGAAAAGTTTTTAGACCCTTGTTCAGTTTCTTTCAAAGACAAGGACAGTTTTCTCAATAAACAAACTAATACATGTATACCCACCAATGAAACCAAACTTCTCCTATTGGTAGTAGGGTAATGCCCACTTGGTATATGGCAAGATTACTGGAAACACTCGAAATCTGGGTTAGCCCGCTTGTCCTTAAAAGCAATTTTTATGAGACAAATTCGATGTTTACTACTTCTGCTGAGTCTAGCACACACTCGGTGAAACAGGCACATGGTGAACAGATTCCCTTGTTCTTATAAAGTTACAGTGCAGTCTGTCTATAACGACCTTTTATATAATGACATCCTGTGTACAGTGACGTGGTGCCCAGGTCCCGGTTTTTTCTTTATTAAATATATCATTAGTAATATTTTGGTTGCCTCTCTATACTATACCGACAACTTTCTATAAACGACATTTTTTTCTGGTCCCGACGATGTCGTTGTAGACAGGCTGCACTGTATAGATTCTAATATATGTGCCCTTTCATAATGCAGTGGAGTCAGGCATTTGTCAGTCTGTCGGACAGATTCTGTGGTCTGTCGGCATAATATGGAGTTATTGGTAGGCTATATTCTTAAGCCTGTTTATTTGCCCTGATTTTGATGAAAACAATAACCATCTATCATGATTAGAAGCCAAGGTATTTGTGATTTGTGATTGAAGAAGGTATACAGAGGTTTCCCAATGTTAGGGGTAAAACCGCCAAACTATGATGACTTCCAAAGCTTGCGTGTCCTTGGAAGTTGCAAAATGACCTTTTTGGGGGTCTTAGATTAATTTTTTTCTGTAAAATTCACACGGAAATGTGTTTTTAAATTACGGTACCATTAATTATGGTGTTGAGCCAAAATTTCAAAAGAATTGATAACAATTGTCTCTTGGGCTGAAAGTTATGGTTTCTAAAGTTTCTTTAATTTCACTTTTTTGATGAGAGCCTGATTTTACTTTGATGCCACACAAAATATTTGTACATGCAGAAGTTTTTTCATTGCGTAGTTCTATGAATTTCACTCATGTAGATCTACGTCTGTTTCAAATAAGATGCATCATCATCATCACCAAGTGCTATATCGATATCTGGGACAGACATCGGCATTCATGGTTCTCCATTCATTCCTTTGCTCGGATGCTCTCAAAAAAGCTACATTATCCTGATATTTCCCCGTCACTCATCTCTTTTTTAGGCTGTCCAAGTAGGTTAAGCTATGGGTGTACTCCCGCACCTTGTTTGCCTTCAATTTAGCCAATGCGAGAGCTTGATCTAGATGTTCCAAGCTTTTTTTATGTTTATTTTATTACAAAGATACATTTATACAAAAAAATTAAGGACCTGAAAATCTGTTCGCTTTGTGCGTGTATCACCATGTGTGTATATAGATAGGGCCTATATGTTCACTTGTCGATGTAGGCCTATATACGTGCTTGTCTTATCTTACAACCCAAAGTCTGAGTTTTCTAAGAATTTACTAATTGATAGGCCTACACCGTGGTGAGTCTTCATCACAGACACACAGTAAAAGAATGAAAAAAAGAACACAAAAATAAATCTCAATATAAGCTGTCCGTAGTAGACAGTCATGTCCTTAACTTAACACCTCAGATTTTAAATTATTAATTATTCGTTCAGCACTGATTAACAAAATCACAAATTGAATAATCTACAACCCATTTTACCATTAGCAAAAACAAAAAATAATAATACTTTCAATCCTTCAGTAATTATAATAATATAGCAAACCAGTTGTTGATAAATCTTTCTGTTGAATAAAAAAAGCTGTTTAGGAAAAAAAGACAAAAAATTGAACCTGGCCAATATGGGGCTCGAACCCATGACATTCGCGTTATTAGCACGACGCTCTAACCAACTGAGCTAACCGGCCACGCTGACGGGTGGTGACTAATAAGAAATATATAGTTTATCATGCTTTTACGCCTGACAAATAAAACAATTATTTTATTAGAGCTATTTTGGAGACGATTTGATCTTGGGGTGTTCATTCTCATTTAAATTTACGTTTTTTTCCCCGTTTTTAGGCGTCATTAGTATAAAACCAGTAAACATGCATGTTCACGTGAAAAAAGCAACAAGGGAGACAATGCATTAATGTTGTGAATTTTTTTGTCTGACTTCCCTGATAAATAGAATTGGGGGGGGGGAGGGGGTTCAACTGAACACTGAACAGGGCATAGGCTTGAAGTACAAGGGGGTAACTCTATGGAACAGGGTGACTTACGGAGTAGCCTACCAAAATAACATTGCTTTTTAATCCATTTGTCCCCTTCTTCGTTCTGTCCGAGTTGGTCGATAGTTTGCCCATCGAAGTTAATTTACCTTCTTAACCCCTTCATTGCTGAGGCGTTTCCATCTACGCTTGTACAGGAAAGATAATACCGTATTCCATTCAATTCAAAACATGAATTAGACAATAAACCCATTCTTTCTACAATTTCTATTATGAGAATAAAGTGCACAAGTTGTAATTGCATGTTAAAACCTCCTCTTGGCTTGTAAATAAAAAAGACAGCGAACCAGTTTGGAAAAACTATATTAAAGTGAGTATAACTGATACGTCAACACAGCAGTGAGGATAAATCTTTAATAATAGTAATAGATTAATTTTAGATTCTGACGTACTGTTGTTAATAATGCTAAAGGCCCTGCGCATTCTTTATTCATCCAATTCCACAAAGGAGCTGACTCCCGGCCGATGCTTTAGTTTTAACCTAGACCTATGGGTAGTCAGTGTTGATCTACGTTTGCAGTCACCGTTACTTGTGACTCAGCTTTTATTTTTATTATATTTTTTTTACTATTAAAAATGTATAGGTTATAGTTATAGATCGAATTATAATATAATATCATTATTGCAGTCTTCGCCTAAAATCACACCGCCTACAATCCCGGTTCGCGTTGACTTATTGATAATATTTATAAATGCTGATTTTTTAATGGTACAGTTGAGTCTTTTCAAAAGGCCACCTGTCCAAGAAAATCACCTGTATAAATTATGTCCACTTCCCACTTCCCCTCATGCTTTTTTTCTATACCTGGAGGTGTCATCTCTGGCTCAGAGGTTGACATGCATTGACCTGCCAGTGCATTAAATTCTCAAATAAATTTTTGCTTTGTACCCTCATTACATCGAGCCCAAAGAAGGAAACTTTCTGGATGTGGAGACAGGAGCAGCTGTTGGAACACACATAGGTAAATTATTGAGATGTGGTATAACTGTATGCAGCCATACCAAGGCATAGGCCTAGCAATAATTATGTATTTGTAAAAAAAATAAAATCCAGTTTTGGGGTTTCATTGATTTGTTACGCAAGTCTCAACCAGTTCCTTCCTGTGTCAAAGCAAAGGCACGATAATGTTTCCACATCCAAAATATATGTAGTTTTCATGCCCCCTTCAACACTGTGAGGTTATTTGATATTTCTGAGACAGGGCCCAGGAATTTCACAACCATTTCCAATTTGTTATGAGCCAATTTTAAGGGATTTGAGAGTCTAGTCTTGAAACCTCCCTGAACAACTTCATTTTTAGAAGATCACATGGGTGGTCGGGGGAGTGGGGTGATTGAGGGTCATGTACCGTACAACGTTGCTCATACCCAGTGCACGTGACTAATTAGAATCATCAAGTACAGTTGGGGCCAGTCAAGAGTTTCTTCATGGTTGAGGAGAAAAGCTACGAACTTGGGGAAATACTATGACTGAATTCAACTAAACTTGAAAGTGATCATCAAAATTAAACATGTTTATTTTCAAGGCTGCGAGTTGA